CGCAGCGTGAAGCCGACCTGCGACAACGCAGTGCTCGGGAACAGCACGAGCCGGTTGCCGCCGAGCTCAAGGCTCTCAAGAAGCGTGTTCTTGAAGCAATCGCGTGGCAGCGCACGAAGCTCGTTCGAGTCCAGTCTAAGATGACGTAACTTTTGTAAATTGTAAAATTGTTCAACGGAGAGCTGATTTAATCTATTATCTGACAAGTCTAAAATTTGTAGTGAAACAAGTTCCGCAAAAGATTTCCGTCTAATAATACTAATATTATTATTATGCAAGTCAAGAGTATGAAGACGTGGGAGGAGGCCGAAGTTTGTACCATCTATGTGAAAGAGCCTGTTATGGGAAAGTAAAATTTGACGAACGTGCAAAGAAAATGAGTCAATAAATGATCTAGATACTGTTTCGATTAAATTATGGGACAAATCCAAAATACTTATGAAAACATTCGGTCCCCCGCCGAGCAAGGCGATCTTGTTATGGCTGACGTTTATCGAGAAATTACTCTCTTCGTTGGAAACATTGTGAAAATACCGTGTTGAAAATTCGACTAAATTATTTTCCTGCAGATCTAAAATTTCAAGTTTAGGCAGATCGCTAAAGGCGATGTCTGCTAATATTTCTATGGCGTTACCAACGACACTCAAATAAATGAGATTATTTAATTTAGAAAACGTTCCTTCGCTCACGTTGTGTATGCGGTTGTAAGAAAGGTCCAGGCTCTGTAAATCTGAGAGACTCTTTAGGAATACAGGATTTATCCGAGCAATGTAGTTGTACGACAGTCGCAGTTCCTTCAGTTTGAATGAATTCTTAGTCTCGGTCATTTGGCTCGGAAACTCCAGGAGCTTATTAAAGTCTAAATTTAAGTACTCTAAAGACGTGTAATAGTTCATATCGTTCGAAGAAAAGAAATGGATATTATTATTATCTAAAGTAAGCCACTTGAGGTCCCGGAAGGCAGTACCAGCCGGCACTTCCCCATTGAACAGCGTCGACGAGAGTTCAAGCACGCGCAGGGAGGTCAAATTAGCGAATGCACTCGCATCCACGTAGTAGAGATCGTTGAAACTAAGAACGAGCTCCGTGAGTGGCAGCGCCGCAGGAAACGCACCGGCGGCCAGCTGGGAGATGCGGTTCCCACGCATATTAAGCGTGCTGAGCGCGTTTGACCACGGCCCGAACCATTCTGAATTCACGAACGTGATTCGGTTGTACCCTATATCAAGATAGCGAAGTGTCGCAGGCTCCAATGTATACAGGGACATAGGAAATCCCTCCAAATAATTTCCTGCCAGCGAAAGAAATCGCAGCCGAGGCGGCAACCATTCCGCTTCCCTCATAACGTTGTACGAC